GGGATTCAAGTTGTGCTCCAACACTCAAACCACAACACCATGCTGGCTTTCTAGTTCAGTCAAATAATTTGATTTATTCACACATCTTTACTCCTTGATCATACTACTACTCACATATAGTAGCAGTAGCAAATTGAGAAGAAAACATTTCTGTACAATGTCATCTCAGACTTCCTATGCATCCTTTTCAGGTATGTGACAAGGGAAGAGTAATCCAGTGGTTGAGACAAGACAGGGAAACATCAGTATGAGGAACCACTATGTATAGCAACTATTAACAAAAGCATTTTCCTTTTAGTGAAAAGAGCATATCCTGAAAATAATGTAATTCATCTAGAAATCAAAAATATGGTTAACTGTATATTTATCACCAAGAGCCAACTAAAAGCAAAGTCAGAGACTTACGTAGGAAGATAATATGGAGAAGTATTTGTCCTTTTGCTGTTGATAGATGCAACATGCAATCTAGGTCACATTGCACCGTCAGAATCTAGTGGAGAAGAGACTTAGTAGCTTGTGGTCAATGTTAATATTGACAGATGTTGCTAGAATCACAGAAATGTGCAACCACACTTACATAAACAGGGAGCAACAGAGGTAAGGACAGGCAATTGCAGTTCCCTCTTGTATTCTTTCTTTTTCATGTATGCTCCTTTCATTTACCTTTCCTTCACCCTTTAGCTTGGTGACACTTCCTTCCACATCCACTTGTTAGTCATGCAGTCAGCAACAGGAACCTTCATCTTTTCTCATTCTCAAATATGTAGTCCACTCTATTAAATTTTTCTTACTGTCTTTTTTTGATGTTCCAAACACCAGCTTCCGTATAGGTAAAGTGATATATTCTAAATTATGTATTAGTGTTTGGGAGCTACTGTTTTCAGAGATTAAGCCATTAGCCAAATCCGTTCTTCTTTCATCACAGTGAAAAGAATTCCATTTGAATCAAATTAGCATGCTGTAGTTGGGTGACATATAAGGGAATATGTCATTTAGGTATACAGTATATACATAAATCAGAATTGATCCCGTCACTTCTTTAGTCATTAGTATCTGGCCTGATGAGTTGATATTTGAACATTTGATTCTAAAATTTACATTTACATCTATAGTACCTCATTGTGAACCATACATTTGTGGATGGTTTGGGGGTGGGTGAGGAGGAGGAGGAAACACCTTATTATTGTTTCCTTTTGTTCTGAGGAGATGCTTTAATTTTGTGTTCATGAATATTGGACATGGTTTAAAAAATGTCTCCGCTTTATTGTAACACTTTTTACACATGAGACAAAGTAATTGGTACAGCTGATACATCCTGGGGCAGCCACCTGCCTTACTGAGTGTCCAAGATTATGTTTGCACATTGGTCATGAAGTGTAACTGACCCAAGCATAAGTAGACCTAGGCACAAGGAAGGATCATGCTGTATCAGGCCTATGTGTTAAAGGCAGTGGTTGCCTTTGCCCTTCTCTGAGACTGAGAGTGTGTGTCTTGCCTAAGGTTACCCAGTGGATTCAGTGTTCAAATCACTATATACTACACTGGCTGTATTTTTACTCTTTTTCACTCTTCTGTTTTCCCTTTCAAGTCCCACCTAAAAGTCAAGATATATAAACATCATCCTGGGATTCCACTGTAACTGCCATGGCTCCATGCTTTGAAATCCTGGTATTGGTAGTTTGGTATGGTACCAGAGAGAGAAATTTAAATGTCTTACGAAACTGCAAATCCCAGAATTCCATAAGATGGAACCATAGCAGTTAAAGTGGTGTCAAACTGCATTATTTCTACAGTGTGGATGCAGCTTACGTATCCTTGAGTTCAGTGAGGCTAATTCCTGGGGAGCAGTGCATCCTAAACACTACACTGTTTCACGCTCCTTTTAAACGTGTGCAGCTGAACTTGCATTCCCTCGTGTTATCATCACCACTTGCATTCCCTCAGTTATCACCACGATGATAGAAAACAGTTGTTTTTTTTAACCACCTCTTTCAGTGTCTTTTCTCATTAATGTAGATATGTTTCTAAGATGAGAAATGATGTTTCTTCTAATTATGGCTACATATAGTTAATTTCCTTTTTAAAAGCTTGGTGTGAAAGGCAGTTTCCTTTATAAAGCGCAAAAGAAGTGATACAGCTGATGTTCCTGTTGCCTTAGCAACAGATTTATTTATTAGGGTCTGAAATGACATGAGTTAATATACCACATACCTGCTGATCGGCAAACTCTCCTATTTCAGCTCCAGTTGACAATTAAGTCCTGGACAGCTACAGCCAGGGGTTAATGTTACTCATTAGGAGAACTAGGTCATTACTGGGAAATCAAGGCGCTTACAGCAGCATGGATAAAATACAAAATTCAACACCTCGATGAGTGAAGGGTTTTTATGTTAATTAACCTTATTTTCCCTGCATATAAAAATATTTCATGTGTGCATATGACAGAGGATCAATTAATTGAAAAGTAAGCTTTTGCTGACTTTCCCCTCTCCCCTTCTCCTTAGTTGTCTTCATTTCTTTTGGAAGGGTTTCATTATTTTAGGAGAAATTCTTATGTCTATATGATGAGTAAAAGGGGTATTAAAATTAAGAAGGGAATCATCATGGAAATCAGCTTTATCACAAGGGAACGGGCAAATAAAAGCTTTGGAAATGAAAATAAATAAGCTTTGCTAATACCTCACCTAAGGAGCGGAATATAAGCCCATCAGAGCTTGGAGATATTCAGAGGTACTACTTTGATTCTCCCTATTAAGCAGTTACATAGTTATCTGACCTTCAAAAAGTGAAAATTTGAAGACCTAAATTCCTGTTGGTGATGGTAAATATCTTGTTTACAGAAAGCGATCTGGCAGGTTTAGTAACACAATACATTTTTTTGTTCTTTGGAATTTGGCTTATGCTTTCTGGAAGTATTAGATACATTTTCCATAAGTTTTATTAAGATCACTGAGCAGGCATTTTTAACTTTTATAAGTCGGAAATGGTTTAGCAATGCTCTCCTTTTATTTACTGTTTTTTCAGCATTTTCTGCTCTGGCATGGGAAAATTTTAAGAGGCTCAAAAAGCATTATAGTCTCATAGTCTTTATACATCACCATTGTCTTCTGAAAAACTTTAGGTCTTTTCACATCATAATATTTTCGCAAGACCAAGAGTCTTAGGAGTCAGATATGCCTCTCTCATATTCTCTCATAAGTGGGAATTGGTTGCTTGAGAATGAATGATTTGAAGGCCAGGGGCCTTTTCCGTGTAGATACAGCTTCTGCACATAGAGTGATCTCCAAATAGATTAGTATAACCCCATTCTCCTTGAAAACATCATGGGTAATGGAAAGTGTGTATGCCCTTCCCACATCACCCATCCAGTTGTCCATCTCTCCAACTGGTGAAAGTTGGTCACAATCCAAAACATATAAATTGGCTGAACAGAGAGAGGAGGCTAGATGGAAGTATAGGAGCTATGTACAGGGTTGTGTTTCTTTTTCACATCCTGAATAATCTTGGTAAACTGCTTATTTCCATGTGTGCCCAGAAACAAATAGATCCATCCACTGATAAGTGATTGCCGGCCCTATGCATTTGATAGAACTCTGGTGGTACAACTACATGAGACAGAGAACTTGGGAAAAGTACCTGGGTTCAGCATAGAATAAGACATTAGACCTGCTTGTTGGCCTTAGCCGACCCTTTCAATCACTGGGCAAAATATTTTTTAAAACTAAATATAAGCCTTTGTTAATGGAGATGACAGGATGAAAAAAACATCCAAAAGGGTTTTCACGCTACCTTTTGCTGTCTCCTCTCTTTTAGTTTGTATTTATTCTGTGGAATCACAAAAGCAGGTCTGGTTCTAATTTTCAGTGCAGATTTTGATGGTACAATTTTTTTTGCTAAAGTCAGGAATATTCATAGGGAGGAATTTTCCTAAAATACTGAAATGTTTACTGAATGGAGCAAAACAAGGAGGTTCCTTCTGGCCAGCTTCATCTGGCCTGTCCCAGTCTGGAGCCTTCTTCAAGTGTGTTGAACTTCAACCTCCAGGATGGGAAAGGACACTAACTTGGGGGAAAGCTGATATAATTTAAAAGAACTGACACTACTCTAATAAATGATGTGCTAATAAAGAGGAGGAATCTTGGAATGCATCAACTTGGAAAAGAAAAAGAATTGTCTAATATGTCTGCATATTCATACTCGAACGTCACTTGAAAATTTTAGTTGAAACTGCACTATACTATGTTTGTATAAGCTGGTGTGTCAGAAGCTGATTTAACTTTTTGTTTACCTGCTCTTGGATGTCACTATGACCACCCACAAACACACACACCCTCCTTTTACTTTTCTAATCTATTTTCTTGGGCAGCAGCTTCTCTCACACAGTTCACATCAGCATTCTTACCAGAACATTGATATTAGATTCGACTGTTCTCTCATCTTTATGGGCATACTAAGATATCAAAGTAATTTCATTTAAGAAAGGCACCACTAACCCACATTTCTGTGAAGTGTAAAAATCACTAGAATTTGCTTCAGCCGTTCCCCATCCATCCTCTCTCTGGCCACTTTTATATAAAGCCACTGCTTTCAGTAATGTGAAATACCAACTTGAGTTAACATTTGACCATACTGTAGTCCTGTGATGTAATACTCTTGATCCTGATCCTGTTTGAATAGGCAGAGTCAGACCATGAGGTCTCTCAACAAAAGAAATAAATATTCAGGCTGTCCTATTTGTCATTCAGCCCAGCCCTGTAGATTTAAATAGGAGGCTCTTTTTGTTGTTGTTGATATTCTCCAGTGATGGTTGGGCACAGTACCATTTGTGCCAATGAAAGCTTCCTCTTAGGACTACTAGCAGTTTTGAGGGAGAGTATAGAGGTAAGGCTTAAACAATCCCCCTTGTCTCTCCTTAGTTGTTATCTCTTCTTGTGTCTCATGATCATAATAATACTATTATTATTCCTGTCATGTAATATTTATTTATTATTATTATGACAGCCTGCATGGTGTAGTGGTTTGAGTGTTGGCCTATGACTCTGAAGACCTGAGTTCAATTCCCTGCTCAAGCATAAAAAATACTAGATGGCCTTGGGCAAGTCACATTCTCTCAGCCTTAGAGAATGGCAAAGACAAACCCGCTCTGGAGAAACTTGCCAAGAAACCACAATGATAGGTTCACCTTAGGGTCACCATAAGTTAAAAATGACTTAGAGACACACAACAACAACAACAATATTTGTTATGTATTATTTGTATTTGTATTTTAATTATTTTATATTTATTCATTGACACATACTTGCGCGCACATGCACATAGAGCGAGCCCTCCACATTTGCTGGGGTTTGGGGCCCAGAACCCCCATGAAAGTGGAAAAACTGCAAATAAAAAACCCCTTTTTTTTTAACCCAAGGGAACACTCTCTAAGAATCTCTAGTTTCTCAGAAGCCTCTGCCAGAAGTTTAACATAGAATTACACTGAAGGACCTAAAAATGCCTAGAAAAGTGTCCTTTTTAGGAATCTCTAGGTCATCCAGTATGACCTCTGGCAGACGTTGACCATAGAGTAATGCTGGAAGAACTAGAGTTTTCTAGAGAGTACATATTAATCATATGCATGAATAATCAAATCCACAAAAATCAAACCTGCAAAAGTAGAGAGTGACTGTATGTATGTGTAGATAGATAGATAGACAGGCAGACAGACAGAGCTTTGAGGACCTACACGTTACAATTGCATAGCAGGCTGAATTCTAAAATGAGCACAATGGAACAACTATGCTTGCTTCCTGCCTCCATATATTTCAGAAATCAGGCAGTGGCTGCCCCAAGGCTCTAGAACTCCTTTTCCAGAGAGGTTAGATTGGTACTCCCCCTCTCCCTCTCCTTCTCCTCTCATGATAAAGAATATGAGAGAATGGGGATAATTGATATGATGAAATAGTGATAAACAGAAATAAAGGAGAATCAGAAAGGGGGCTGTAATCTGAATAAAATGCAAACCAAGAGACAGATGGGCAGTAGCAGGGGAAGTTGTAGTTTTATGACTCTATTTACTTCCTAGGACAAGACTTTGATTACCAACAAGGCAACACCTTCTTTCCTGGGTTAGATAGATTGATATGGGGGAAAGCAGAAAATTTAAATAACTCTTTGATGTGCTTCAAAGTGCGCTAACAGTGGGTTGGGGCAGGAGGGGCTGGAGGGGGAAATCTTAAAGGGTGAATTGTTCTGGGGAAAATCAGATTTGATACCAACACATCTGTGGTGCATCTGTGCCTGAAGAATCCAAACTAAAGCTGTAGTACTTTTATCACAACCATGCTGTCCTGGTTATTGAGGTTTGGATCTGCTAGACATGACATTTTTTCAAATCTTCCTCCAACACCTTGTAAGATGAAGCCTGAGGCAAAACTGAACTGGAGAAGCCTTCCCAGAGCAAGTGGAGTAGTGGCCAGGTGGCCCAAGCCTGAGAAGGGTGAACGACTCTGGCCAGGGAGCCAGAATAAGAAGATCCCATGAAGCCGAGGGAGGCATGGGGAGCAGCGGGTAGCTTTGAGAGGAAGCTCCGCTAACCATGCGGAAACATGTAGAGGATTGGTTCCACCACTACAGGGAGCATGGGGAACACAAAGAGGACGAGAGGCTCTTGAAGGGGGCAACATAGCAGAGACACTCTCCACACCAGCCCAGCACATGAGACCCTGGAGACAGGTTCTTGGTGGAATGTGAGAAATGACCCCCTAGGCAAGACCAGAGCCTGACAAGTCGCACCCAAAACCCGGTGGCCAGACAACTGGGGGTGGGTTTGACAGGAGGTCCAGTCATCTGTACTACTTCCTGGCCCAGATGGCAGTGCATATGCATGAGTGGGGCCCTACCTTTCCAAGCAAAGGTACGTGACATCCTACCTGGAAGGTACGTGACATCCTACCTGGAAAGCAAAGCGGCAGACTGGCTCATACAATTTTTTGACACTGGAGCTGCAGAATTGGAGAGTTTACCTGAGTTCATGGTTGCTCTGTGGGCCCTGTTCGAGGACCCCTTCCAGATAGAGAAGACTTGAACCAAGCTAATGGCATTCATACAGGGGGCACACTCTGTGATGGAATATGCGACAGAGTTCCAGGGATTGGTAGCTCAAGTCTGGAGTGGCTGGAGGCGACCAAGGTATAGCATTTCAAGATGGATCTGTGGCCAGACCTGCTGAAGTGGGTCCAGAGGACTGACAAACCTCAAACCATGAGGGACTGGATTCTACTAGCTGGGGAAGCTGAAATGGCAAAAGAAGAAATCTGCCTGATGATGCAGTGGAAACTGGGAGTGAGCAGAGGAACCACCGCAAACGCAAGCTGCTCCTGGAGAAAAGAAAAGAGGACTACGAACTAGGAATCAGAGTTCGATAGGCAGAGGTGGCTTGGGCTCTGCCTGGACTGTGGGCAGAAGGGGTGCCTGATTGCTGAATACCCTGACCAAAAGGACCATCATCTGGGCACCTCTTCGAAGGGTGCAACTACTTCATCGCTGATGGGAGACCAGCAAGGGACCCAGTGGTTGGGACCTGAAGGCGGCAAGCCAAGGTGACAGGGAGCCAGAGGCAACGTTGGACACCACTGAGTCGGTGGACAATGCTGAGCCGGCAGAAAACTGGTCTCAGGTGGCAGCGGGAGATCAGCCATGGATCCACAGTGCTGTACATCAAGGGTGAGTGGAGGAGTTCACTTATATGCCCTGGATGTCAATGTGGAGGACTGAAAAAGGGGACAGAGCATGAACCTAGTGGTAGCAATAAACTTGGGGTGCACTTGATGCTTCATCAACCCAGAAATAGTGCAGAAGATGGGGCTTGACACCAAGAGGCTGAGGCACCCCATCACATTTGAGCAGATGGACAGCTCTTCCATGGGGAGGAGGACCTGCTAGGGAAAGAACGGAGATGGTTTGGCTTGAGGTGGCAGACCACTGGGAGAAAATCCACTTTGCACTGCCAAGGAATAGACTGGTTGCACTTTCACAATTCCAGTTTTCGGTGGGGGGGGGTGTCAGGAGAACTGATCTTTAATTATCCGGGATGCAGGGCCCACACCTGGGACACTCAGATTGAGGCTCCCAGTTTACCTTGCAATTCTGAAAGGTGCTGCAGAAAAAATTGTGGATTGAACAGGCGATAAGCACTTCTCATCACCCTGAAATATATGGACAATCAGAGCAGACAAGTGGCTCTCTGGAACAGTCCATCAGTTGCTATGGCATTTATCTGCAGGATGATTGGTTTGATCTACTGCCCCATGTTGAGGTTGCTTTCTTTGGGGCCATCAACCAGAGCACAGAACATTTGTCATTAGATATTATCTATGGATATGAACCAAAGACATTGCCTACGCTATCCATTGAACCCACAGACCCCATCTCACTTTCACAGTGGATTACCAAAATTAAAGATGCCTGGCCTCAAATTGTAACAGCACTAGCAGAGGCAAAGAAGGACTACAAAAGGTTTGCAAATCTCAAGAGGGACAAGGAATGGGACTGAGGAGTAAAGTTTATTTATCCACTAAACATTTGAAAACCCAACAACCTTGCAGGAAATTGGGCCGAAATAGATAGTACCATTTGTGGTGAAGTGGTTACTCAATGAAGTAACTGCTGAACTGGACTTGCCTAAGACTTATCGACATTTACATCCAGTGTTCCACTTCAGCCTGCTCAAACTGGCTTTAGCTGCAGATCCATGGCGGGCGGACCCTGAGCCTTCACCTCCTTTGGTAGTGGAGGGGGAACAGTACTTTGAAGTGGCCAGGATTTTGGACTCAAGGTACCATGGGGCAAATTGCAGTACCTGGTCAATTGGAAACATTTTCCAGAATCTCATAATAAATGGGTGTATGACAGATATGTGGTTGTTCCGGACTTAACTTGCTTGTTTCATGAACATTATCCAGATAAACCAAGGGGGAATTAATAAAGTGTGGGAATTTAATCTCTGAGATGGTGGAATGTGAGATCCAGAAGTGTATGGACCTGTCCTGGTTCTTGAGGTTTGGATCCACTAAACATGACACAGAGTTGGAAGATACAGAAAACCCTGCACCATGTACAATTATCATACTACCTAAACAACCAGTCCTCAAAGGCCTGCTGAAATATGTGCTTTGATTGTGTATTCCTGTATGGAGGGGGTTGGACTTGATGTCCCTTGAGGACTGGTTGTTTAGGTGGTATGAGCAGCTATTTTTTTACCTGTTGTAAGCTGCCCTGAGTCTCAAGCTGTGGTCCTTGTCTACACCAAAGGAATTCCTATAAAAGCATATCTCTATGCAAGTTGAAATGCTACATAGTCAGTATTCTTTTTCATATGTCAAGCACAATACATATAGTGTTCCCCCTGCTAAAATCCCATTAATCCTCTTTCTACGTTTCAGACCCATTAATGTTCAGAAGAGACCAAAGAAATAGGAGATGCATGCTAATAATAATAATAATAATAATAATAATAATAATAATAATACCACCACCAGGTATTTAGCATTTACCAATTGCACTTAAAATTTAGTAGGGGAATCAACATGCATGTGATCAACAATTACTATTTTGAGGATCGCACTGTTTCTATTAAAACCATAGATATTTGTTCAACACTGAGTTCTATTTTTATTTTGGGGGTGATGCCTGTGTTGGGTGGATTGGTTGGAGTGAAAGGCCATAAAAATAATACTTTCTTTTAAAACACGAATTTGTTAGACAGTGGGAAGTAGGTTCCTCAGGCATTAGAAAACACTGCTGTTCCAACTGAATTAGGACTGTTTGAAAGGTATGATATTTGTCTTATTTCTACACACACACACTTTTTTCCAGCATTCTGGCATCAAGACATCATTGTTTAAAACATTTAAAGCAGGAGCAAAGTGTGGTCTTCCAGACTGCATCTCCCATTATCCTTAACCGTTAGTGGTGCTGGCAAGTGTTGATGGAACTTGCAGCCCAACAACATCTACAAGGCCACGTTGCTATAAAGGCTGTCATATCTCTCCCAGTTTAGCATCAGCACTCTGATGTGGTAGGCGCACATGTC